CAACTTGCCCTTTGTTAAATCACCGTGGGTGCCCGTGTGGAATTGGTAATTCTTCAGTCGGGATGATCCTGGAGGACTCTGGTCCCTGTTTCCATGCATTAACAGGGATAATTAACATCTCTTTAAAGCAAAATAGGGACTCAAGTGGGGAGAAAGAGGCTCGTGCCAGTCCTAATCCATCTCCAGGAGTGTTTTATGAGGTTTCTTTATAGTGTGTGCACAGGTCTTGGTTGCTGTCAGCCTGGGACGGACGGACAGACAGACAGAGCCCCTTGGCTTTGTCTCTCTCGCTCCGGGCGGTTTCCCAGAAAGCAGAGGAGGATGCGCTGCCTTCTCGCTGGTTTATCCCCTGGGATTTTTGAGCAGCTTCGTGGCAGGCGGGAGGTGAAGCTGCTCTTCCCAGGATGCTCGAGATGTGACACCGTTATCCTTTGTGCCACCGTTGAGTTTTGGGGACGGGGAGAATTGATTTCGTCCACCCTGCCTGAATTCGGGGGGAGGAATTTGCCCCTCGAGTGGGTTTTCTGGCTCAGGTTGGGGCTTCAAGATGCAGCGCCTTAAACTGAGGATGGTGGGAGCTGTGTGAAGGAGAACAGGAGAGAGAAACTCTTGAGCTGGGATTAAAATTGTTTTAAACCAAAACCAAGCAGGTCTTGAGGAGCAAATGCTCCTTTTTAATCCTCTCCCACATTTGCTGTGCTATACAAACAAAAATAGCGCTTAATAACACGGGAGCTGGAAGCAGAACCGCTTCTTGGGCCTTTTCAGATGAAAAACTTCCAACAGCAAGGTTGAGTCGTTGGAAAATTACCCCCGCGGGGAGCAGCATGTGCTGGGCCAGACACCGGGAACACTCCGGGTGGAGTTTTAACAACATCAGTTTGAACGTCCACATCTTAGGTTGGGATGAAACTGCTGCCTTTTCCCAGCAGCGTTCAGCAGAGACATCGCCTAAACCAGCCTAAACCACCGTTACTATGTCGTAAAAATAAAAATTGGGAGGTTGGGAAGTGTCTGGTGGCCGTTAATGTCACCTCTCCCTTCCCTTTTGTCCGTTTAAGGCCCCGGATGGTCGCTGCACACGTTGATCCCAGTCTCCTGGCTCAGCAGGGGCAGAATTAAAGGGAGTGCTGGCCACCACAAATTTGTTATTCTTTTCAGCTGCTGGATTTTCCAGCCTAGCCGCCTTTTCCAGGCTATTTGTAGATAATATATCCTGGGGTGAGATCCCTCGCCATGCAGTTTAACCATGAATTTCAGTTTCAGGTTTCGTAGCCCTGCGCTTCTCCTGCGACACTGTCCCTGGCTGGGATCCTGAGGCTTGGGTTTGCCTTTACCAACCCAATTCCAGCTCACCCCTCCTCCTCCTGCACACCCACGACTTTATTTTTTGCTTTAAAACCCAGCTTTTGCGTGCTGCAAAGGTTTGAAAAGTTGATTTTAGGCTGTGGGTGGAGTGAGTCGGCGCTTCGGGGCGAGTACCACAGGGAGGGACTGAAAAACCAACAGATTTCCAGGAGGGAGAATGTTCAGCCCCAAACCAGTTTGGTTCATACTTACCAGTCGCTTCCCTGGTGTACAACCCTCTTGGAGCAGATTGTCTCGCTCCAGAGCACCAAGAAATGCAGATCACTTCATTTTTAGGACTTGCCTTGCACGCGATGCTCTTTCTGCAAAATTTTTAGAAGCCAATTTCGCTTCTCGCCCACCGAATCGCGCTGGTTTTGGCGTCCACACACGCGCCTCGTTCACGCGGAGAGCGGAGATGATCTGGTTCTCCGAGCAGAAACAGGATTTAGGATTAAATTGAGTTGATAATCCACTCTGCCCCAGCTTCGTGCTGCGGTCCAGTGGGACCAAACCGGCTTCGTTCTGCTGCTTGGGCATCCTAAAGCCTCGTGTCTCTTCTAAAAGTGAGATTTGAGTTATTTCTGTTTTGTTGAGATTGGAGGAAAGTCGCTGGGGATGGATCCAGCTGTAACCTCTCTGTGCCATGCAAACAGTTGGGTTTGAAATCCCGAGTTAAACATCACCAAAATCACTAATTCAGCATCAAATCCAAAACTTTTTCTGCTTCAGCAGCGCCAGGCGCCATCCAGCATCATCTCAAAAGTTTAAAAAAAAACCCCTACAAAATCACTTTATTACTTGATAACGTTCATTTCTTTTTTTTTTTTTAATTTCTTATAAGTTATCTTTTTGTTTAGGCTGAGGCAAGACAGAAGGAGCATTTAGGGTGGTTTCTTGCAAACGCAGCCGCTCTCGTGTTCAGATCTCATGATTTTGCTCAGTCGCTGCTTTAGGGTGGGTGGTGGAGTCTCACCTTCAGGTTTCCCCGTTCGATGGGTCCAGCCCCCATCAGACGAATCCTTGGTGGAGTTTCTTTTCCATCAGCCTTGCTCACAGGGATCTGCCTCTTATTTCAGTCTCAAACACGTGCCTGTTTAAGCCAGCCTGAAAGAATCCTTCGGCCCCAATAAAAAGCATTTTCTTGCATATACCACCCCCTTCACGTCGTTAGATCTTTTTTTTTTTCCTCTCCCAGAATGGATTTTTGGAGGCTGGTGCTGGGACAGCCCCGCCGTGTGTTCCCAGTTATTCATTTCTCCCACTTTTCAACTCAGAAATATTCCTGCTTTCATTTTTAGGTGAGCGTTGGCCCCTGCTGCCATCCCAAACCAAACGTGCCCGCAGTCCCTCCTTCCATCTTCAGGCTTTGCCCGCGTCCCTGCTCTTGTACTTTGTTTTTCCTTCTGCAGAGCGAGGGGCTTCTCTGCTTTCTGCTTCCCCCGTGCCTGACAAGGCTGTTGGCTTTATCCTCCTGTTCTCCTGCCCACCTGGGGCTGACCTCCTCCTCCAGACCCGTGGCCACGTTCCCTTTTATTCCATTCATACAGTGAATTTCCCTGACGGTTTTTTTCCCCCCATACCCTCTGCGCTCCCCTCCACCCCCATCTCCCCCAGCTCAGCTTTAGGGTAGAAGAAGGAGAAATCTTCCTGCAGGTTTTGCTCTCCTCCTCCTGGCCTGGCAGTTCCCTCTGCCGGCTCCCGCGCCTCACTGCAGCCCTTTCCCTTCCTGCCTCTTCCCCACGAAAAAAGAAAAAAAAAAAAAAAAAAACCAAAAACCCAACAGGATTTTTTTTTTTGGCAGGCAGCATTAAAATCACGTGGATCCAGCCAGACGCCGGGAGCGTGATCCCGGTGAATTTGAACTTCTCCGTGCTAGATACCCTCCCAGCGCGGTCTGTCCTCCCCCATCTCATTTATACCTTTGCCTAACGAAGCCTGTAAACGTTAATCACAGTAATCGAGTAAGCATTTTTCTTGATTTTTTTTTTTTTTTTCCCTCACGCTGCCATGAATAATTCAGCTGGACGAGAAGGCAGAGCTGGGCCACATCAGTCTGGCCCTTCCCAGTGCAGTTAGCGAAGGGGATCTGGTCCCCAGATCTTGAGAGGGTGCAGCGTGTGGGGTTTTTTCATGTACAGATTAATTATTTTCTTCTTATTAATTATTTTCTTAATCTGTAGATAAAGGTGATGCTGCGTTCAGGTCTTCTTAAACCTAAGAAATTAAGAAAAACCTGAACGTAGCGCTATCTCTAACACGATAATACAGGTTAGATTTTTTTTTTTGTATTTATAGAATTTAGATTTCTAATCTATAACAGAGATTAGATGAAGGAAGCTCGAAGGTAGCACCATTTTAATCTGTAGATTAAGTAAATTTGAACATAGCACTCTCTATAACACAGTTTAGATTTCTAGCCTAATCTAACGCAGATTAGATTTCTAATCTATAATATAAATTTTAAAAAACCCCAAAGCAGCATTTTATAGATGGAGAAAGCCCTGCAGTAGCATCTGTCTATAAAATAGAATAAAATTATAATTACACTTTGCAGTAAAATGTAGGTTTATGCCCTCCATCCCACAGCTCTTCTTTTTCTGCTGCTGATTTTCACCCACAGAGCAGACACAGGTCTGTCAAACTCAATTTCTTTGGCTCCCCACCATTTGTCTTCCATGTCAGAGAAGTTTCTTCGTACCAATAATTTTTTTTTTTTTTTTCCCCTGGGAACACCCCGAGCGTGCACACAGCAGTGATATCTGTATTTCTGGTGAGAAATGGGGCTGGGGAGGAGTTGGGGTGATGCTCTTTGGGGTGAGACCACGTTTGCCACGAGCTGAAATTGGGCTGTGAACCCTCAACCCATCGAGACAGGCTGAAAAACTGTTAAAATTGAATTTTTCTGGGTTGTTTTTTTTGGGTTTTTTTGGATATTTTGGCACACAGGTGGCGTGATAATGTATGAGAGGAGATGTAACCTAACTGCCAGGGCAGGGATGAGAGTCCAAGTGTCCTTTTATTGGGAGAGAGAGGAGAAAAAAGGTGTAAATTGGTGTATTTCCAGCTAATCCCTTAAAAAAAGAGTTGCTTGAGTTTGAAAACACAAGAGGAGACTGGTTGGATCCCTCCAAGGAAGCAGGGAGACAGTGAAAAAGAGAGGTGATAAATTAAAGAAGTGATAAATAAGATACCTGAAGAGGGTAAATCTGATAGAAATATTTAACTGCTTGGATGGGTGGTTAGAGCCTTCGCTCTTAAGTGGAAGAGGAAGAAATTAAAACGATGATGAAATCTTTTCCCTTTAAAAAAAAAACCACCAAAATAGACTCTTGGACTTCCTCTTCCTGCTGGTTCTGGGAGATCTATTGTACTGAGAGGGAGCAGAAGGAAATCAGGCGGTCGCAGTCCTTGAAGTGCTGGATTTCAGGCAGGACTTTGCCTTAAAAGTGCAAAAATACTTGGGAAAAACTTCAATACCGGTGCCAGTTCCTGGTTTTTCCGTAGGTGGCTGGTGTTTGTAGGTGTCTGTAGGCTCCTTTGCTTTGCTGGATTGTTGCTGTACTTTAAAAAATGTTGAGTTTCTCGAGGCAGCCTTCGTTTCTGGTGCCTCGGGTGGATGCCGCAGATTAATTCTTTATTTGTTTTATCAGATACAGTATCTAAAGGCATTTGTGCCTGAAGCCACGGAAGATAGATGGACAAGCCAAGCAACTTCTGACTCTGCATCATTTTCTGGGGCAAAATTTAATGGCAATGTATCCTACAAGGTAACGTAGCCCCTTGCAGTGAGTAAAGAGGATTCCTTTTGCTTGGCTGCCACTCGATAAAACCATTTTTATCACTCCGAGCCTTCCTTTCGCACCCAACCCAGAGGAATCAGCACCACCCCCAAGCAAAATTCCTTGAATTTTTGCAAGAGAGGGAAATCCAGATTGCCTCCAGTGATGTGGTTTGAGTCAGATCTCCCCTGCAGAGAGCTAAAACGGGGATGAAAAGCAGGAGCCCAGTGAAAGCTGGGACTGGAGAGGTTTCACAGGGATAAAATCTCCCTGGGGAGCGAAAGGGAGTCTGCTGCAGCGATCTCACTGATCTCACCGCACAAGCGATGCTTCAGCTCGCTTGAAAACCTAAAACCCATCATCTAATGACCAAAATCTGATGTCGCCCTCACGTATTAGCTGGTCAGTGTCAGTTTTAGGCCAGCGAAAACAACAGACCGCAGACTTTAAGCAGGGGTTTAAGGCTGGCTGAGGTTTTGTGGGGACTCAGAAGCAGTTGGGAGACGTGGCAGGTTAAATCGCAGAGACACTTCACCTCTCTGGCTCTTCATCCTTTGCTGCGGGATGGCCAGAGACATGGGGCTGTTCTGCTGCATCAGAATAAAACCCCAGACCCGTGGCCTGATGCTTGTCATGAGCACATACAGACCAATAAATATTTTATCCCCACTCAGGGCCAGGTGTACATGCAGACGTTTGCTCTGCCAAGGCACCCAGTGGGGTTTTTTTTTCCAGGTCACGCAGGGCTGGCAAGTCCTAAACCAAATCAGTTCTGCCCCCCAGGTGAGAAAGCACTTGATAACCCCACGAGTGGAGGGATGGGAGATCTTTTCTTCCTCACTTTCCCCTGGGTGTCACTTGAAATCTGGTGAATCACAAGGCTCTTAGTTCATCTCACCCACTAGATCATGGGTTTCTCTAATTAAAAGCTGCGTGTGCTGCAAGTGCTCAGCCTTAGGGTGGACGAAGGACACGCAGCACACGGGGAATCCACACGAGGGGGGGGCAGCCACTGCTCTGTGGCAGCTGTGGCTCGGTGGGGACCCCCTCACGCAGCTGCAGCTTCAAGCCAACGGGCGGGCTGCGTGTGGTCTGGGGAGAGCTCTGAAATACATCCGTAGGCTCATCAGAAAGGTTGTGGGTTTTTTTTCCCTAATTTCTGGTCTTCAGAATGATATTTAAATGAGCTACGTAAAGGTGGTCTAGCTAAACAATCTACCTAAATTACCTGCTTGGAGATTATCTACCAAAATCATCTACTTTAAGATTATCTACCTAAAAATTACCTACCTAAAGATTGTCTACATAGGTTATCTACTGGTTTATCTACCTAAATTATCTACTTAAATTAACCACCTGAAGTTATTATCTACCTAGATTATCTACCTAGAATAACTATGTCAAGATGATCTATCTAGATGATCTACCCAAAGATTATCTACCTACATTTTCTACCTAGATTGCCTAATTTAACTCCCTGAAGTCATTACTAACCTAAAGATTAGGTACCCAGATTACCTACTTTTAAGATTATCTGCCTAAAGACTATCTAAAATTATTATCTACCTTGATTACCTAAATTAACTACCTAAAGATCATCTACCTCAATTAACTACCTAAAGATTTTCTACCTAAATTAACTAAAGATCATCTACCTAAATTAACTACCTAAAGATTTTCTACCTAGATTATCTATCTAGATGATCTACCTAAAGATTATCTACTTAAATTAACTACTTTTAAGTAGTTTTAAGATTATCTACCTAAAGACTATCTGAAATTATTATCTACCTTGATTATCTACCTAAATTAACTACCTAAAGATCATCTACCTAAATTAACTACCTAAAGATCATCTACCTAAATTAACTACCTAAAGATTATCTACCTAAATTAATTGCTTTTAAGATTATCTGCCTAAATTATCTACCTAAAGCTATTATCTACCTGGATTATCTACCTACATTAACTACCTGAAGATTATCTGCCTAAATTATCAACCTAAAGTTATTATCTACGTAAATTAACCACCTAAAGATGATCTGCCTAGATTATCTATGTAGATAATCTATTAGTAATATATTATCTATGTAGATAATCTACCTACAGATTTTCTACCTGAATTTTCTACCTAGATTAGCTACATAAAGTTATTATCTACCAAAATCATCTACTGAGAGCAGACAGTGAGTTACACGTGGGTCTGTCCACTGCGTAGTTCAGCAGAAACATCCCACAGAAGCTCAACGTTGACCCAAAAGAGAGACTTTGGCGTTAAACTGGGGTGAGCTGACCCGTGGTGGTGGGGTGGGGGGGTGCTGAGAGACTGAAAGGACGTAAATGAGACACCCTGTGCTCCTTTACTTGAAGCCAAGAGTTTGGCCAGCACCAACTTTGCTTCTCTTTTTGGTGTTGGCAAACTCAAGGCCGGAGCTGAAGCTGGTACGTGCTGAGTTTGGCTCGTTAGAGCCTCGTTTAGAGGCCACGGAGGCTTTTCGGGGAAACCACTGGAGTCCTTCTTGACCAGGTTAGGCAAGAACAGGAATAAAAAACCTGATGCTTGCTATGGGGCAGAGAGGCAAGGCTGGGGCCTGGTGTGGAAACCCCAGCAGGTGCCCTCGAACTGTCCTTTCTTATCCCAGAATGCAGAGTGCTGGTGCCTTTTGTTGTGGCAACACTGTTAGGCGAGCATGGCTGCAAGGTCTAGTTGCCTGAGCTAGTCTAGCAGAGGTCCAGTTTCTTTTTAAGATGCTTTGTTTTAGTTTTGAAGCAAAAGCCTGGGATTGAAATGACCTCCTCTCCCTCCTCCTCGTTGGGCAGGGTGTCTGGTGAGGAATGCAATGGGATCAATAGCATGTCGACAGAGAGTGGCCCTGGAACGAGACTGAGAAATTTGCCAGTAATGGGGGATGGACTAGAAACCACCCAAATGTCTACGACACAGTCACAGGCTCAACCCCAACAAGGCAGTGCTGTAGGCGTGAATCCCCCTCCACCGGAGACCTCCAACCCCAACAAACCCAAGCGACAGACCAACCAGCTGCAGTATCTGCTCAAGGTGGTGCTGAAGACGCTGTGGAAGCACCAGTTTGCGTGGCCTTTCCAGCAGCCTGTGGACGCCGTCAAGCTCAACCTCCCTGTAAGTAAAGGTGGAGAGACCAGGCGATGGGGTTTTTGGCGAAGGGGGTCTCACACCTTCTCCTGAAATTGCCAAATCCGACTTTAATGGGTGAACTCGATGCCCTGATGGTTGGACTCGGTGATCAGACGGTTGGACTTGATCTGATCAACAGCTCTGGGACTCAGTAGTGGTTGAACTTGATGATTTTAAGGGTCTTTTCCAACCCAAATGATTCTGTGAGCTTTTAGAAAATACACACACACAAGGAGGAATCTCCAGTGGCTCAGCTACTGCTTTGCCTTTTATCACCCTCCTCTTTCCACTGAATTAAAGAGGAATAATACTTCAGGAGTCAGGGAGGGTGAGTGTGCTGTCCTCTGTCCCCTAGACAAGCACCAGAGATTATGAAGTACCAAAAGTTAATCAAGCACCAGAAATACTGAGCACCAAAAATGATTAAGCACCCAAAATACTGAGCACCAAAAATCATTAAGCACCAAAAATCATTAAGCACCAAAAATTATTAAGCTCCAAAAATGCCTAAGCACCAAAAATTAAGCACCAAAAATTATTAAGCACCAGAAATTAAGTACCAAAAATACTGAGCACCAAAAATTAAGCACCAAAAATGCTAAGCACCAAAAATTAAGCTCCAAAAATGCTAAGTACCAAAACTTATTAAGCTCCAAAAATACTGAGCACCAAAAATTATTAAGCACCAAAAAGCTAAGCACCAAAAATTTTTAAGCACCAAAAATGATAAACACCAAAAATTATGAAGCACCCAAAAAGCTAAGCACCAGAAATTACTAAGCTCCAAAAATACTAAGCACCAAAAACTATTAAGCTCCAAAAATTAAGTACAAAAAATACTAAGCACCAAAAATTGAGCTCCAAAAATGCTAAGCACCAAAAATCTTTAAGCACCAGAAATACTAAGCACCAAAAACTATTAAGCTCCAAAAGTGCTAAGCACCAAAAATTATTAAGCTCCAAAAATACTGAACACCAAAAATTAAGCTCCAAAAATGCTAAGCACCAAAAATCATTAAGCACCAAAAATTATTAAGCACCAAAAATCATTAAACACCAAAAATTATTAAGCACCAAAAATTATTAAGCACCAAAATTATTAAGCTCCAAAAATTATTAAGCTCCAAAAATACTAAGCACCAAAAATTAAGCTCCAAAAATACTGAGCACCAAAAATTATGAAGCACCCAAAAGGCTAAGCACCAAAAATTAAGCACCAGCAGTTACATGCCAAAAATGTTTAAGCACCAGAAATTACTAAGTACCAGAATTTAGTAAATTATTTTTTAAAATATTTTGAAAAATTAAGAAGCATCAAAAACGAAGCACCAGATTTTCAATGCCATAAATTAAGCAGCAGAATTGCAGCACGAGTACTTCCCAGGCACCAGAAGTTAATCACCAAAAATCATGAAACACCAAAAATCCAGCACTGAAAATGAAGCACCAGAAATGATCAAACACCGAACGTTAAGCACCAGAAATTAATTAAGCACCAAAAGTTAAGCACCAAAACTTAAAGCACGAAAAGTTATGAACCACCAGAAATTCCTAAGCCCCAGAAGTTGTGAAGCACCAAAAGTTAAAGCCCCCAAACTTCCCATCTCCAGATATTAAGCACCAAAAATATTTTAAGCAATAGATGAATCATTTAATTTTAAAATACTTATTTTAAGCAACAGATGATTTGTGCTGCCTCAGCCGGGTCCTTTTTGGAGCTGAAGACACTCGGAGCCGCTCAGGGAGGCCCCAAGGACTCAGCCAAGGGCTGTGCCTCTCGCCCCTCTCAGATATCCCACGGCCCTGGCACGGCAACTTGGTCCCGTTGAAGAATTCCCGTCCCCGCCAGGGTCTCGGAAACACGGGCTTTGGGGCAGATCTGTCCCGTTCCCAGGCTTGTTCGGCCTCGCCTACTTCTGTTACTCTTGGGTCCTAGATAGATGGAATCTTCCCTCCCTCTCCTCCAGCCACAGTCCGCAACACGTCAGGCGTTTCGTAAGGGACGCCGGTCTGAGGTTCATCTGTACTAAATGGAGGGAATGGAGGTTGCAGGTGGGTGGGAGGGTTCATCTGGAGGGATCTGCCCAGGCTCAACCTGTGGGCCAAGGTTAAGCCAGGCCTAGTGCCGGGGCCTGCCCTGGGGAAGCTGCTAGGTAGAGAAGGTCCTGGGGGTGTTGGTCAGGAGCCAGCGCCCAGTGGCCAGCAGCACCCTGGCTTGTGTCAGGAGTAGAGTGGCCAGCAGGACTAGGGAAGGGACCGTGGGTGCTGGTGAGGCTGCACCTCGAATTCTGTGCTCGGGTTTGGGCCTTTTTGCTCCAGGAAAGACACTGAGGTGCTGGAGCGTGCCCGGGGATGGGTGAAGGAGACCAAGGAGAAGGGTGTAGAGAACGTTGGGGGAACTGGGGTGGTTTAGTCTGGAGAGAAGGTCTCCCCCGAGACCTCCTCACTCACCACAACCTCCTGAAAGGAGGGCGAGGCGAGGTGGGGGTCGAGCTTCTCTCCCAAGTGACAGGAGGAGAGGAAACAGCCCTGAGTTGCACCAGGGGAGGTTTTGGTTGGAGAGTAGGAAAAAATTCTTGGCCCACAGTGTTGTCAAGCACTGGGACGGGGTTGAGTCACCATGGAAACGTGGTTGCTTGGGGATGGGGTTGAGGCCTGAGCTCGGCAGCGCTGGGATAACAGTTGGATTTAAACGATCTCCAAGATCTTTTCCAACCTCAGTGATTCCACGACCCTAAAGGAGCGCAGAAACCTCCTCCTGCCCCTGCCTCAGCCTGGCTGCCATCACCAGGAGAATTCAGAATAAAACCCAAAGAGCTGACAAAACCCGTGGCATCATTTCCAGATCATTGATCACAGTAACTCAGCAACATCTTTGCTGCTGCACGTCTGCTTTGGACCCTTCCAGCTCCCACCAGAAGAGTTTTGTTCCCTCCCTCCCTTGAGAGGGATGTTTCTGCTTAACACCCACTTCTCTTTGTCTGTTTTACCTTTAAGATCTAATAGCTCTAAATTTACAATTATTACCCAAGCATTAATTTATTTAATTCCTTCACAGCAGGGACAAGCTCCCTGTTGCAGGTGGAGAGCGCTGGTTCTATAGCAGTGGTGTTTCCAAACCATTTTTTTTTTTTCCCCTCAACATCACACCTAAAAATAGAAACACCTTTTGTATTAATCCGGATACATTTAAGGGGTGTAATAAATCTGATTTCCCCGTTCTCATGTCGCTGGCATTAAGCATGTGACCTCCTGCATTCTTTTTCCAGAATGTTTTTAGGAATTGCTGCCCCCAGAATTGGGACAGTTTGGTGCCCCTGAGGGTAAATTACTCCTCTACCAAAGGTTTGTCCTTCTGTTTAATTAAAAATCCCAACTGAGAGGCTGATGGGGCTGAAGTCTGGCAGTCAAATATCTGCTGGGCTTGGAAGTTCTCCCCCAGGTGGGTCCAGGGCTGAGGTTTAGGAATCCCCGTTTTTTTTTTTTTTTTTTTTTTTTTTCCTTTGCAGGATTATTATAAGATAATTAAAACTCCGATGGATATGGGAACAATAAAGAAACGCTTGGAGAATAACTACTACTGGAACGCTCAAGAATGTATCCAGGATTTTAACACGATGTTTACAAACTGCTACATCTACAATAAGGTACGAAAAGTTCCCGAATCTGCATTTTTCCAAGGGAAATCTTCCATGTCCTCGTTGGACCAGCATGGAAATGCAGGCGTTGGGATGTTCAAACTGTCCTTAAAAGGAACCACCACCGAGATCAGCTTCTTCAGGCAAACAGACAGGATTAAACCGATGGGAGCTCCGGCACGTCTGTCTGCTGCGAGAAGCAGACAGGGCTGGCTTAGCAGCCTTCCCTCCTGGAGGAGTTATTAACAGATACCTTCAGTCTAGACATTGTTCCTTCTTTATTTTTATTCTTAAATGGATTTTTTTTAAGATTTTCTGAGGGTCTGACTTGAGCAGAGCCGCAAATTTGATAACATCAAATACTTGAGAAGCAGATCTGTGCTTTGTCTTTGCTCTGGCTTTGTTAAGAAGCTGACTCAGGCTGGTTTGAAACTCAGAAATCTGGTAGAGGGGAAAAAAAAAAAAAAAAAAAAAAAGGATATACAGAGCAGCACGTAGAATTTGTCATGCCTGACCTTGACCTCATAGAATATTCCCCTCCAGACAGTGAGTAACATCCCAGCAACCATTTTATAAACAGTTGTGCAACCTCCTGCCCTGCAGGAAGGGATATCTGGAGGGATGAGGAGCATCCCCAGGCATTTCCACAAATGGTGGTGGTGGGACAGTGGCCAGTGGTGGCCAAACCCCAGGGGTGGTGGCCAATCTCTGGGGGTCGGGGTGGGGCTTGGAGAGTCGGAGGAGGTTCTTGGGGCGATACCAGGCTGGACTGAGCACAAGACACTCGCTTGTTGGCAAAAGGACCACGAACACAAAGGAAGGGTTTACTGCTGCCCTTAAAGCCATCGGTACGTGGTTGGACCCTCCAGCCTTGTCCTTGTCCACCCTTTCCACCACTTGCCCCAGTGTTTCTCTTCCCATTCGGTTTCTGCCCTCCTCGTTTTCATGGGTCTTTTCTCTCCATCCCCATTCCTTCACTTTCGTGTGCGTTGACCTTTTTCCCTCCTCCTCCTCTCAGAAATATTGCTCAAGACCTTTCTAGTTTATTCTAAATAAATAGTCATTCACAATTTTAGTCCTTCAAAACCGTCTCCTTGGCTGTTGTCCTTTCTGGTTTGAGCCAATGTGACACAACATGAGCGAGGACAGAGCCTTAAAGGCTCCAAATTACCCCTCTGCCCCTTCAAAGTCTCCCACCGTGGTGTTTTCCTCCCCCTGCCAGCTTTCTGCCTGAGCTTACCCTGGTCTCCTCCAGGCTGGAAGGCAAAAAAGCATCTAAGAAACATCCTCGTGGACCTCACAGAGCCTGCAAACCATCAGCCAGGCAGGTTTGGAGGTGCCACCCGATGGGCCAGCGTGGTTGGACCCGTCCTTGCCCCGATGCTGGAGCCGCTTTCTCTCAGCGTCGCCATGTCGTGACAGCGCTGGCTGTCAGCTTAGTGTCTTCATGTCAGTCCGTCCTCTCGTGTGCCTGCCTGCCCATGACTATCCACAAAACAACTTCAAACCTTCGGATCTCTTGGTCTCTTCTCACCTACGGTGCTGCGGGGGGCCCTGGGCAGAAGGTCTCATCCTTTCTGTTTGCTTTGACCTTGGCAAATCCAGGCTTCTCCTCATGTCTGTAAGAGCCAGTCTGGGCCGTCCTCTCCCTGTCAAGGATCCCAACATTCAGCTTCCTCCTTAAAATGCCTTTTTCAGAAAAGGCAGGGAATTTCCTTGTGCTGAGCTCTTCTTACCCTCTACCCTGATGCTCTATGCAGAGACCCACCAAGTCGGGGGGATCTTCTGTGGTGGAAACAACCGGCTGGTGTTAATCCAGCTCTTCCTTTTTCCACTTTTCACAGAATCCCAGAACCATTCAGGTTGGAAAAGCCCCTCAGGATTACTGAGTCCAACCCTCAGCCCGACTCTACAAAGTTCTCCCCTACCCCACATCCCCCCACAGCTCATCCCAACGGCCCTTAAACCCCCCAGGGATGGGGACACCCACCCCCCCCAGGCAGCCTGTTCCACTCTCGGACCACTCTTGCTGGGAAACATTTTCTCCTCCTGCCCAGCCTGACCCTCCCCTGGGGCAGTTTCCAGCCGTTCCCTCTCGTCCTGTCCCTGACCCCTGGGGGCAGAGCCCAGCCCCAGCCTCTCTGCAATGTCCTGTCAGGAGCTGCAGAGAGGGATGAGGGCTCCCCTCAGCCTCCTCCTCCTCACACTGAACACCCCCAGCTCCTTCCCTGGCTCCTCACAGGATTGATTCTCCAGCCCCTCCCCAGCCTCGTTGCCCTCCTCTGCCCTTGCTCCAGCCCCTCCAGATCTCTCTGGTATTGAGGAGCCCAAACCTGGACACAACCCTCCAGGTGTGGCCTCCCCAGCACAGAACACAGTTTTCCCCTATTTTTCCTCCTCCATTCACAAAATACCTTTTGCTGCATGCAGGTAGCACATCACGTGGGTTTATTCTCCGATACATCTCCTTGGTGCCAGTTGTCTGCTTTTACCTATAAAATATAAAGGCTTCAGGGTGAGGATTTGTCCATGCATTTGGTGCTTGGGACACTTTCCATACACCTTCCTGCTGCACCGTGGTGGAAACAGCAGCACCACAGAGGGTGGAAATACAGAATTGTCTCTCTGGGAATATTTTCAGAGAGAAATTTCATTTTTATATATATATATATATATATATATATATATATATAGTATCTCTGTATTTGCCTAATTTATCATATCTGGTTTTTCTCCAGCCAGGGGATGACATAGTCTTAATGGCAGAAGCTTTAGAAAAGCTTTTCCTGCAGAAAATCTCCGAAATGACCCAGGAGGAAACGGAAATTGTGATAGCCCAGACGAAAGGAAGAGGACGCGCGAGGAAGGAAGCAGGTATGATGCTTGGTCC